TCCGAACACATGAGTAAAATAGCACCGACCGGGGGCTAACCAACCTTACAACACGGACACTGCAGTCTAAGACTGTGCACTCAACTGCTGTGCTACTTTATTCAGGAGGTGAAATTTCACAGGCCAGTACTTAATGACTTATGAAGTTACAACAGTGTGCAGTATCATTGGCCATAGCATGAGCCAATCCACACCAGAAGTATGGACACATGGACTAAATTTATAAGAAGAAAAGAGGACCAAGGTGCTACACGTTATGCTAGAATGTCCACTCACAGTAACTGGTGGTGTTCGTGGACATTCTAGCGTAACTAACTTACTTCTAGCTCCTTGGTCCTCTTTTCTTCTTATAAATTAATCCTTGGCTCTCCACCCGAGTCTAATATGGACTAAAGTTCGTACATAAAGTAGAACTAGACCAGTCTTGTACATACTACATACGGTACACCTGGTACACGTTTGTACAGCATGGCAGATAACGGGGGGCTTAGAAGTCACAGCCAGGCCGGAGCATGACAACGCTGACTTTTGGATCGGATTTTGTATGGATCCATACATATTAGGATGGTGTTTCCTTCACAGCAGGCTGACACATCTGCCAGTGGTGACTCGACTCGACTGGGCCCTCCCGGTTGGGGACCCACTCCTCCATGGCACAGAAAACATCACACCCGCATGCGACACAAGCCCAAGTCATACCAAAGGCCATACAACTGCTGACGTCATACTACTTAGGAATGTTGGTGCCTTTAGAAGGCACGCATTTTGATCATTTGCATTGGACCTCAAGTTTTAAAAAAATGCTTTCATTCATCCCATGTAATGGGCGGTACGACCCCTTTAGTTCGGTGAATTCAAATAAATACCTTCCTACCTACATACATGTATGTATAACTCTTCACTTCTCCAACTACAAAAGGTTTATGGACAATTAGAAAAACCGGCCTACCTACATGTTCAAGTACCTATCTACCTACAGACCTACACACACTTGAGAAGGACGAAAAGCGTTTCTTCTGTAACTCTGAGTTTCACGGTTTTAACCGATCATCAGACAGCAACTTGCAACTTGTTGCTGTCTGATGATCGGTTAAAACCGTGAAACTCAGAGTTACAGAAGAAACGCTTTTCGTCCTTCTCAAGTGTGTGTACTAGGCTCTGCACCTTGGTGTATTGAGCACTCTCATGAGCAACCACAACTCCCTCCGAGTTTACCTACAGACCTATTAAAATGAGAGAAAAATTCGAAATCAAGCACCCTTCTTCTTGATCAAGATGGTAGATCAAGTTCTTGAATGCAACCCCGGACCAATGGCACTCGGGGTGCGTACTTGGGCAAGGTTGAGCCATTGTGACCTCCAGAGCATGCATGATTAAAGTTGGCGACCACTTTCCAGACGTTTTCGGTTATTCTGATCATGCAAAAGTGCCAAGTATGTTGAAGTTTAGTTGGAGAAGCAGGGAGTGGGCAAAGTTTTCTTTAGTCAATCAGTCAATCCTGGATAAATAAAAAAAGGACCCAGAAATGTATCCTAAGCCAGAAAGCGCACTTTAAAATTTTGTTCGAATGGGAGGTATTCCAAATGTGCACGTGTACTAGAAAATAGTATCAATGCGAGGCCCATATCGTGGGCAAGCGAGTTGCGGTGCTGCAAGCATTATGATGACAGCAACCTGTGAGGCATGATCGACTACAGAAACCACCAAAATAGTTTCTCTGAAACGTTGGCAAATGAAGATTGAAAAGGTCCATCAGGTGAGAAATTGACAGTGACAAAGTTCACAATGCTTTCGGCTGACTGGTTCCAGTCTAGCTCTGTTGCTGCGTGATTGTCTGGGATCGGACATGTTTAGTAAGATGTTCACTTTCGCAAGAAAACGAAGCACAGCCAGTCAGCCGCCACACTTCCTAGGATTTCTCCACCACAAATCACAAAAGCTGAGAACAAACATTGGTCTCGAGTCGGGACACTGCCTGCACTTTCGAAGCAGCCGCCATCAGCAGCACTGAGTCTTTGGCTCTTTGCTGCACTGATGTTCACTTATCAACCCTTGTGCGGCAAAGAAGGCCTCCAGGAGAAGAGCACACTGTGCGCTTGGCAAGAGCCAATGAATGGATCGTACTCCTTCATCATCACTGCAAAGCCCTCTGAGGTAGCAGAGCATTGCAGAGCATTGCAGAGCACTATGTTCATAGTGCGGAGCATGGGAATGAGACGAGTCTCCAGTTCTCCACCCACACTCATGAGAAGAGAACAGCCAGTTGTGATCACAGCAGCTTGACCACCACTCACTAGGGGCAGCAGTAGCAGTAGCAGCAGCAACAACAGCAGCAAGCATCATTAGAAGCTCACCGGTCCGACTTGGCAAGGGTGTCACTGTCGCAGGGATAGTGTGAGCGGTGGTAGTGGGTATCGGTAGTTGTCATTCCAGACCGGATGTTAGTTGTGTATGAAGAACATGAATCCATACCAATTCAGATAGGCCAGTAGGACAAGCATAGGCAGCAGAGCTGGAGTAAGCAAGGCATAGTAGCACACTGCCTCGTCGCTAATGCAATCTGATAACGGTATCTAACAGCATAGAGAGCACATACACACATACAAGCACACACATGCACACGCACATACACATGCACAAAGCGAAAGAATGTCCTTGTGTTCACGGCAACAAGAATACCGTTTACTAGGATCTCCGACACTACTGCCACAGTATACCTTTTCAACTTGTTACTTGACCCATGCACCTTGCAATACGCAAATTCGAAAAGGAAAAAGACCTTCAGTTTTGGCAAGCTAAAGCCAGGCATCAGGGAATCAGGATATTTGATATAAACCTATCAATACACTCTACAGGCAAGCTTCATGTGACCAGATATCCCACTTGTACAATCTCATACGAGGACTCCCACTGCTTTAGCTCATTTAGTAGTAGGGAAATACTCCACAGTCCAAACTAGAGAAACTATCAATTTAGCAGTACTGTAGTATTTCTGGCTAAATGTTTGGGGAAAAAAGTAACATCTGCTAACACACCGTACAGTAGAGTCGTGCGCCCAAGAACGTGGTTTCCATGGGAACGTTAATAAACACAACGAATGGAAATATTGCAATAAACCAGAGAGCTTGGAAGCTCAGGGCCCTACGCTATGCTTTTTTGCCTTGGTGACCTAGGCAAAAAAAGCATAGGTATGTTATAACATTTTCATTTCTCCTATTTTTTTTTCAAGACATAACCTGGGATTTGAACCCACATTATCGCCCTGCATGCATCCCCCGATACACTTCGCATACATACTAATTCTTCCAAGTTGCTTCACGTTACGATCTTGCACTTGAAAGCCCTATCTGAATATGCATTGTGGCCAGCCGTCTTTGATGGCACGGTACGGTACGGGACAGGAACGGGGCAGGTACGGGACAGGTACGGGACAGGTACGGGACAGGTACGGTCAAGGGTAATACGACACCGTCTACCGCCTTGATGACCTAGGCAAAAAAAGCATAGGGATGTTATAAATTTTTCAATTCTCCTATTTTTTAGGCATAACCTGGGATTCGAACCCGCACTATCGCCCTACATGCATTCCCCCATACACTTAGCATTCATACTCATTCTTCCAAGTTACTTCACGTTATGATCTTGCGTTTGAAAGCCCTATTTGAATATTGCGGCCAGCTGTATGTGGCCAGCTGTGTTTGATGGTACGGTACGGTACGGGACAGATACGGGATAGAGCCAGGCGTGACACAAACACACAAACACACAAACAAACACCAAATTAAAGCTGTGTGGACCCTGGCTAGCGCCAGACGTTACTGAAGTAACGTCTTCTGCATAGCTACGGGAATAGTTGCCCTCTATGCTGTGCTGATGAGTCCACAAAGGACGAAACAGTTCTGTCCGCAGATTGAGCAATAAATAGTATAAATTCTGCCGTCATCACCACCCATCAACGAAGTCATCAAGGTTTTCCAAATCAATTTTCACGTCACAATCATCAGTGGAATATCGTGACTGAAGGTAATCCATGCAAAACAACAGTTATGTTTACATTATACATTACATAGTGTGTGTGTTGAGAACAACATACAGTGCTAAAGATAGAAGGCAAAGGGATAGAGACAATCAATGTGATAACTTTGGTGACTTTGGTGATGTGTGGTGATGACAGCAGAATTTATACTATTTATTGCTACACTTCCATTCGTTATTTTTATTTTGCCCGCAAAAGAGGCTTTGACACTATCTACAGCACGTGTTGCCGCGATCATGATTAATTTTGGTAACTTTTCTATGTGCTGGCCTGGGTTAGACTGTTTACATATGTATTTCTGACCCGGCTAGTCAGGATCGGATCCCCGGTATAGTGGACCAGCTTGCTTGGTGCGTAAACATGAAATGCGATGTCAGTTTTTGTGTGTACTTGTACATGACACAAGTCATGAGAATATTCGCAATTACAGTTGCATTCCTTCAATTTCAATAACGTGAAAGAAAATATGCACAGCAATGACGTGGAGGTTTGGTGAATACCAGTACTCACGTTCAAATAGTACCAACTAATGGTAAGGGGCAGAACAAACGAGCAAACATAAAGTGTAGTGACGATGAGCACTTTTGTTGCCGGCGTAAATTCAATCCACATTGCTAAAAACGCATCAACAGAGTGCTGCAATGAAGGCAAGTCAAAGGGCATTCGGTCTTTGTCTTCGCCGGCCCTGGTACATGGTAAAGACAAAGTTGAAATTATAGTTTCACCTTCACTTCAAGTTCAAACTGATTACACTGATGCTATGTTACAGTATGTACGAACTAACTACACATGTACAATGTACTACTAGTAATTGTCGACAATTAAAAATAATTAATGATGTCTTGTGCATCATGTGTTGCATGCAGCTTGTTTCAATTTTGAATAATGACCGTGCATAATTTTTTCAACCAAAAAACTTTTTACCCATTTCAACGAGCTAATTCTCCAAGCTTTTACTGTACAGTATCAGCTGTCCATGCAAAACTAGTTTGTAGACAAGTCATGGAAATGGATCATCAGTAATTTTGTTTGTCACACTTTGATCTCTTTGGGGTACGGAAATAGTAATAATATTATCAATGTGGCGGGGGAGTAGTGAAGACAGAATGTGAAAATGCTCGCATCAGCTCTCCGCCTTGTCGTCCGAGGTGCGTGAAGCCAGTGTTTCCTCCACTTATCCAAAATGAAAGTCACAAATTCCTGTTACGGCCAATTTCTTGTTGTTTAGATTTGCCATCATTTGGTAGATCCTGGACTGAAGTGAGTTCTCGCGCAAAGCACTCTCTCCCCACACGTGGATGTGATGCAGTTGCTGTTTTCGGTGAGGCATTAGTTTCTCTGCTCTTATGAGGAGAATTTGTTTCATTGCACGTACATCCATGGTGCCACCTCAGTTTGATTACGGTGTGTATGAGGATGTTATAACGAAGTTCAAAAAGTGTTGGCACTCTCGTATTGGAATTCTTTCTGTAGCTGGTCTACATGCTAGTGCTTAACTCCCTGTCACAAACTGAATAAAAGAAGCACACTGCATGTGCATCTGAAAATGTCGTTGCTGCCAGTCCCCTTTCAAGCGTTCAAACTTTCCAAACACATTGCATGCATACCTAGCTAGCGTCTACGTCATCAGCTGCGAAAGTCAACTGTACACGCAGTATGCGACGCACTTGCATGTCACACTACTGTAAGTCAACAGAATTAATATTCGGCGCATGTTTATTTTCGGCTATTTTCGGCCTGGTCATATTTGGCTGAAAATGTGTTGCGGCCGAAATTTTGTGTTGTGAGGTTCAATGTGACAGTGTATACAGGCAGCAGCAGTACAGGCGGAAAATTTAATGCGGCCGAAATGGGTTTTAGCCTAGGGAGGCCGAAATGGGTTTTAGCCCTGGGAGGCCGAAATTTGAATGGGCCAAAAATTTGTAGACTTACAGTACCTTCTCCGGCAAAGTGAAAATTTGAGCAGAACATGTCGCTCAATCGAACGGGTGCTTATGTAGCAATTTGGCCTGAGAGTGTATGGATGGATCTCTGGCCTTATCTTAGTGACATCATTGCCGGAATGTGGCGCACAGCGTGTGCGAGTTCGATTGGGACCCACCTGAATAATGATGCATCACAGCCTCTTCAGGCCAAGACCATCTGGCTCAGTGCCCTAAACTAGATAGACACTGAAGTACAGTATAACCTTTTCTGTGTGTGTGTGTGTGGGGGGGGGGGGGGGGGGGTAGTCCCCTTGGCTTTAGGGATTGAACGAAGGTGCCTGCCAGTTCGGTGAAATGTTGTATAATTATGTGCTCATGTACCGCAGGTGTGCACCAGTAAATATGCGGTGGTGGCCTGTGAAATCTGACCGATGTTTTGCGCGCGTGAGAGCGCACGATATGACGTGTTTGTAAACGCATTGGGACTACGTGGCATGGTGGCTGTGTACATGTCTCATTTCGTGTTTTCATTGTCAATGCACATGCTTTGCATGTACGTGTCTGTGTGTTATAGTGTGTGTGTGGGGGGGGGGGGGGTGGTAGGGGGATGCACTGAGCAAGCAAGGCAATGTGCTGGATCTCAACTGCAGGGATAAGGTTTCACTTGCCAACACCGTTGTTACTGTACTACATGTAGTAGCATATATACTTGCTTTGTGCTGTGTTCTCCTAACTATCAGCATCTCATCACAATGCATCTGAAGCCAGTCAGAGGAGTGGAACTGGTGAAGCCAGCAGTGCTGTAAGTTGTTGTTTGTACACGTGTATATGTGTGTGTGTGTGTGTGTGTGCTTGTGTGTGTGTGTGTGTGCGTGCGTGCGTGCGTGCGTGTGTGTGTGTGAAAGCCACTTCATAGCTGTGTGGTGTAGACCAGGCTGAATAATGGTGGTCAATTCTTCAGCCTTGCAAGCTGTTGAATGGTGCAATCCCAGCACAAGCTGCTATGGCTTCTGCTGTAGCATCGCTATCATCGTCTCTGGCGATGGGCGTCAAATGGTCAATGGTGTGTGTGTGTCCTTGCATGTGTGCTTGTGTGTGTTCTTGCGTGCAAGCATGTATTGGTGTTTATCACATTTTCTTTTGCATTAAATGCAATGCTGGTATTACAGGCATGGTATTACAGGCATGGTGGTGGCCTGGTGGTGGCCTGGCACGAGCGAAACTTCCTAAGCTGGTTGTGTTTCTCAATGTATTGCCGGTTGTAACGCGGACGTGCAAACTTTACTTTATTTTTTTATAATAAAAAAAAGAAGAAACACATGAGAACGAGTTATGCAGGAACTATCCACGACTGTAACAAGATGATAAATGGTCAGAAAGTGCGATAATAGGGCACAAAACTGACAGGCTACTGAGACATTCAGCGACCCGAGACCTAGCTCCAACACATCTCCAGTGCGCAAACTAACCCTCTTCGGTCCTACGTAACCATGAACCTTCCAAGTTGGAAGGCTGTTGGTTTGCGCACTGGAGATGTGTTGGAACTAGGTCTCGGGTCGCTGAATGTCTCAGTAGCCTGTCAGTTTTGTGCCCTATTATCGCACTTTCTGACCGTTTATCATCTTGTTACAGTCGTGGATAGTTGCTGCATAACTCGTTCTCATGTGTTTCTTCTCTTTTTTATTTTTTATTTTTTTATTTAATGCAGCGGAGCTAGCACTTGAATAATGAACACTTTCGTCCATACTGCTTTTCTTGTTCTGATTATAGACACTATGTCAGCCACCAATGCTGCTGACAAATTCGCCCATTCCATCATTCCTTGTGGACACTGTACATCATGGTGGAGTGCTGGATAATGTGGGTACAGTGAGAGAGCCGCAGCCAGTGCTTGACCAGGATGGGTGTGTTGGACATGTCATACTTGACAACTGTCTCATCAATACCACCCAACCTATTCTTGATGAGGAGCCATTGGAGGACAGTGAAATGTTGCTGATCAACATCAAGAAGCGGCGCGCACTGAAAATGAGAAAACACAAACTGCGCAAGCGTCGGAAGAAGTTCATGATTCGTAACCGGTTCAAGAGAAGACGAGAGAAGATCAAGTACAAGAAGAATTAGATATTGCACTTTTCTGGCGGTAAGTAATTAGTCGCAATTTGAAGTGAAGGTGAGAGTTACCGTACTTCCGCACATATAAGCGCATGTGCTTATGTCCGGATATAAGCGCACCCCTCAATTATAAGCGCATGTGCTTATATGTGAACACTATTGGTGAAAAGGCGGGAGCGAAATATACCACCAAGTAGTGTGATGACACCATTGTTTAGGACACAGACAAACCTGTATTGCGCATATAAGCGCATGGGCTTCTACCCGAACATGTTTACACAGCCAAAGATCTTTTTTGCAGCAAATTTTCGCTTATAAGCGCATGCGCTTATATGTGGGGAAGTACGGTAACAGCTCCCAATTATTTCCTTAAGCTGGGCTTATCCTATTCTAGCATTTCAAGGGTTTTCCAAAGCTACTTGATGCCTATCGAAGATATTTCCTGCCCTTCAAGTATCAGATCGAGCAGGGAAAAAAACTTGAAAAGGATAACAAAGGAATAGGGACAGGTGAAGCATCAAGTGAGGAAGGAGAGTTTCACAACAATTCACATGAGCCAAGTGATATGTATTGATGAATCATTAATGAAGTCTGAAGAAAACGTTGAACGGTTGCTGCTTGTATGACGACTACACCTTAGCTTACGTTGTAGTGGTAGAGCATCGCTGGCCATGGGCAAAGGACCCTGGTTCGAGTACTGGTGGTGACAGAAACAAATTCTTCAGACTTTTCCTGTTTACACCTTTACCTCAAACTAATGAATCATTGATCCGTACTTTGAACATTAATATGTGTATGTGAATGAGGCCTTCTTTTAATCATGTTTCTATCCATGCGATTGATCAAGACTTGGACACATCATGACGGCACGTTGAATTGGTTACCGCTTGTGTTCACTTGCTCTATGTGGCCTTCCTGTTTGTTTGTTAACCCTTTACCATCCGACCAAAATTCCCCAGCAGTCCCAAATGCAATAATTCCCACCTTATTCTGAGAATATCTTCGGTTCTAATCAACCAATTTTCACAATCTTGGGCATTCTGGAAAGCTCTCCACGAGCTGCGTACATTGAGCTCAAACAGGACACTACCGAGATCACATATCCAGCGCCAGGGAGCTGCGAATAGACCCCATCGCTGGATATACGAGGAAATTGTCTCCTCGCCAGCTATTTCTCGCTCCTTCATCGTAAACATTCCAAATTTTTTGCTTGAGTCTCTTTTCATGCTGCCCACGCGCTCAAAGCATGCCAAAGTGACTCAGCATGTCAGGAGAGGGGAAAATCCCCGCTCAAGGTCAGTCACTCGGAAAGAAATTCGACTTTTGCCGTGGCTGAAATGTCGAGTGTAATATCTTTGGAATGCGACATTGCAGCTCTTCGCCGATTGTTGCAATGGACAGCTGAGCTCTTCGGCTCCTTCCTACATACTTAGTTTGTGAGATTCCGTCAAGAATTGATCGAGTTACGAATGTTTTAGTGTATGCATGTCCATCGATCTCTAGAGATCGATTCAAGTACGCACGGATGGTAAAGGGTTAATGCATTATGTATATTTCTGTGGGGATGGATTTAGATCTTAATTTCAAGGATTTGGCTTGACTTTGATTCTGTGTGTCTGTTTGCACGTGTGTGTGTGTGCGTGTGTGTGCGTGCGTGTGTGTGCGTGTGTGTATCTGTCTCTCTCTCTCTCTCTCTCTCTCTCTCTCTCTCTCTCTCTCTCTCTCTCTCTCTCTCTCTCGCTCTCTCTCTCGCTCTCTCTTGTAATATGCACTTTTTGTTGTAGGCCCACAAGCGCCATGTTGCGAAGGTGCGGTGTTGTACTGGGCTTTTATATCTGCAGTGTGGTGTGGGCGTGTAACTGTATATACATGTAGATATTATGATTATAGTGCACTTTATGACTGTGCTGTAAAGTCCACTGCAAACGCCCACTTCGCAGCAAACACCCACCCCAGTGGGTCCATACTATATTTGTCTTTTTCAGGTCAATAAAGTTGTACAAAACCGTCATGATGGTTGAATGCGTACGTGAACGACTGTAATGCCTACAAACTGCCTATGTCTTACCATGAGGCTCTGTAGAAGCGATTGTCAATATCTTGCATCGAAGAAAAACTTCTGTCGTGATTTTCTTTCAACGCTAACTTGTTGAACACTTTGGACTGATGTGGTCGGGAAAAATCCTTGTCCTTGCACGTTGCGTGATTTGGATATGAATCGTTGAAATGATGGCTTGAAACACGGTCAGAAGTGTATTTGGTTCCTGCAATGCTATGTTCTTCACTACCTTGTTATTCGGAAGAAACGCCCGCTTGGATTTGTGAAATAAAACAACCAACATCATAATCATGACTACGAGCTAGTTCGTGGCAAAGCTGTAGTTCCCAAAGAGATTTTGAAACCAGGAAAGCGGACATAGTTTACCGTAGCACAGCGCTCTTTGAGTTACGGTGTGAGATGCACTTTCGTACAGTAGCGGTGACAGTGCATGGAGTCAGTGCGTATAGGCCAGCAAATCTTGCAAAAATGGGGTGGGCGTTTGCAGCGGACTTTACGGTATTAGCAAGTGTAGTGCTGCAATTTCTAATCCACAATCTCGTGGAGTTATTCTGCTACCATGGTTAGGAGGCAGGTGTAGTATGACCATACACAGCCACACTGCCCTCTATCATTATTATTATTATTGCAAATAACGCGTGGTCATAAAGATCGAAACGTAACGATACCAATGGATTTGTGTGAAATGCAGTGCTCTCTTGAATGTAGGCAGGTTGCCTGCAAACGATTCAAGAACGCTGAGCAATTACACGAATGCATAAAAACCAGCATTTGCTTCCGGGAAGGATTCACAAACATAAGACAAAAACACCATGGCTCAATGTAACTGCACATACGAAAAGCAGCTTATATTGTCAAGTTCGAGTGGCAATAGACACCCTTAGCAAAAAACGTTATGTTGTAACGGTATTATCGTAAGGGGGAAAATACCGTGATTTGGGTTCGACCTTTAGCAAGATGCACGCTATTTTTAGTACGCTGTTGCCACGAGAATAGCTTTGATTTCGCGCGGTACAACCATTTTTGTCACCATATACGCGATACAAGGTGAAATGCGTACGGACTATGCAATATTTGGCCAAAACACGTACCGTTGGTCACAACGATAAATCAGCCCACATAACGTTTATACGCTGCAGCTTCAACGCTATTTGGGTGATCAAGGTACGAGTACCGTAAAAAAATAGCGTTACTGTTGTTTGCTAAGGGTGTCTAATGTCAGAAAGACGGTAGACTGTTCGTGCACGATGTTCACCCTGCAGGGGATAAGTCAAGGACGTGGCTCGGCAGAGGAAGATGAGTGCCGCGGGGTGCCATTCCACCGTGACTTATCCCCTGCCAACTGCCGCAGCTGATTAAGGCCTCTAAGCGTGCCCAGGCGAATGCCGAGTCGGGCTAGGCAGTCCTGAGAAAGAGCTGAGAGGAGAGTTGTCCTGGGCCCTCTATCAACAGTCAGGTATATTGCCCCCATCATTGGCACTATGCATTTAGCTGGCACAGTTGATAGTATTTTGATCGTCTTTGCAATCTATTTGCTGAAGTGGAGTTTTAAGCTGCCCATCATGTGCTCACAGTGCCACCTAGCTTGAGCAGATCCTGAAGTAACCAGTTTACCCTGCCTTGTTGTCGAGCTCAAGCGGCACAACATGGCGTAGATCTTCAGGGTGAAGTGTGCATTTGAATTATGTATGTGTGCTGGGTGCCTTTTGCATGTTGAGAAATGCTGCAGCACTGCTCACGCATTTTTTACTCTGTAAAACTGCTACAGTACCCATGACCGAAAGAGACAAACCATTCTAATTTGTCAAGATTGCTTTTAAAATATCACAGTGCAACTCCTCGTAATCACGGGCGTCACTGAAAGCAGAATTCGTCGTTCACGTAAATTAATGTTTGTGAGTCATGGCAGCTGTGGCTCCAGTCTTGCACCTTGCTTCGTCCCACCTGTGACATGGTCACTGCACATACAATGTGCCTGGACGTTGAGGAAAAATTGCTGTTAACAAGAGTCCACAAACGAGTATGTATCTGTTGTTATGGGTTTGTGTGTGGCTCACTGCCTTCATTACATATTAAACTTGCCTCCAACCCGCTCTGGACACATGCACTCAAACCCACAATCTCTCATACCAGCACATCCGCGTTTTCCTCAATCCGGTTCGAGTATCAACGCAATGTCTAAATTTTGGGCGCATGAAATTTATTTGAGGTGTACTGAAAAGATGACAAGGCTACAGTGGAGCTTCAAAGTTCAGAGGGAAATAGCTGTGTTTGATTTTCCGCAGTTCGCAAACTGTAGCTGCATGATGTAATGAAGGCAGTGCGCCACACTTCTGGCCCATAGAAGAGAGATCAGATCACAGCTGCATACTCTTGTTTGTAGACTCTGATGTGGTTGATGTGTTTGTGTGTGGAGTTGTAAGAGGATGCCGGAGAAGTGTGTTGCATTTGTACAAGTAGACACTTGTGGTGTTTGTGTAGATGATGTGCTACATTGTCTATCCATAGACAGGCACAAGCAATCATGACATGCACTGCACATGCAGAGCCTTTACCATAAGAATAAGACATGTCCTGTTTGTTGCATGAAAAATAAATAAAATATTAATTATTTAATTATTTTAAGTTTCCCATGCATCAACGCCCACGTACAGTCAAAACCTACAGGCAGACATACATGTATGGCTAGGGCTCCCTGGCTGAGGCAGACCAAACACTACAATTATTATAAGGGTACACTTCACCGGCCTTGTCCAGAAGGCAGAAGCATCCAGCTTCTTCGGGTGAAATGTGCAGGTAAATAGAAAAAGTATTCGCCATGAAGAACTAACTTGTGACTGTTCTTGGAGTTAGAGAAGTGAAGAGTTGCATGATTGTACATTTCTACTTGAAGTACGACATGTGGCTGACTTGGAGGGGGTTACGGGCAATCGACGGTAGGGCATGTTTGATTGGTAGGATCCAGACCTACATTGTACATGTAGATCAAACCGGATCCACTGGATATATACGGAGACTCCCTTGATTTAGGCGAAGACCTGTGGGGAATCCATAAATACAATACAATTTGCAAAAAACCAAGGCCCATTGTGTGGAGGGGATATACAGTAGTGTATACCGGGATGTACACATGACTGTACAGTATTCATCCTTCAATGCGACGGACCCCACCGGCACGATAGGCGGTCAGCCTTTGGAGTTTGGGTCATCCTAAAAATTCTTGGTGTACCGGTAGAGGGGACGGCTCGATACCGGGACGTTTTGACAGCCAAATTTGTATAGACCCAAACCGATCGTCAGCGTTGATTTTTCACTCGAAATATGTTTGTGGAAGGAAACTGGCATGTTGATTTTTACTCTGGGGCCAGAGTCAATCGAACTGAGCCACTCCTTTGTGTTGACCCATTGCCTCCAAGTTGCCCAATTTTTCGCTTCAAAAAAGTTCAAATCAGAGGTGGCTCCAAACCGGACACGTTTTAAAGTGCACGTCAAATTCACTCTGGGTGTTCAGAAGGATGCTTTGAATAGTGCATTACTTTTAGTGTCCAAGCATTGGGCGGAAGAAGTGAGTCTCTCACAAACGGAGAGCATTGTGTACCAGAGCGGGTCTCTCACTATCGGAGAACTCGGGGTCTCAGTTCTTCATCGGAACATTTATTGGTAGCAGAGGATGGTTTCTATGTAGAGCCATGAGCAGCAACGAACCAGTTCAGATAGAGCCGGCGGTACCGGGCAACTCGGATGAAGGCGATTCGAGCACACAAGGCGTTCCTACGCAAGCGGCGTCGGACGCTGAAGGAACCGGAACCGCAGTACCAGTGGAAGGAGACAGTGATGCGCCACTCGAGAGTGGGTCCCTGTCAACACGAACTTCCGACAACGCAGTTTCAGACGTGTCAACCTTGCGGGCCTGGAAGACGCAGGCAAAAGGGGATTTCACAAAAGTTCGCAGACGTGTGCTGGTGACCATGACGAACGGTGAGTGCAGTACCGAAGAAGTTGTAGCCGGTTTCACAGAATTAGAGGAGGCATACGAGAGGGCCACCGCAGTGATGGCGGATTTGATGGGTTGTTATGCTGTGCAGGGCGACATCGCTGGGAAAACAAAGGTTTTGTCAGAAATAGAGACAATGGAAAGTCAGCTCAGCGCCGCTGGAGATGCACTAGCTTCATTTCTTTCGCAGTCAACCAACACGGGCTACAGTTTTGCATCACATGGCCAACAGCAACACTTTGATTCAGAGCCAGTTTCAGAGTTCTCACGCACCACTGCCAGTACTGCGTCTCGGTTAGGTGCGCCTGCACGTACGCGCTCCAGAAGTGGTATCAGTTACAGCTCACCGCACGGCCAAGCACGCGATTACCTGTCATCGATTGATACTGTGGTTGACCACGAGAGGCCAACAATCGATCAAGCATACAATCACAGAGACCGGTCTTCAGAAGGAGTGAGGATGAACCTCATGAGTCATGTGGACAGGGAAGCAGAAGATCAGTCCGCTGAGTCAGCGTCCGCTATAGTTCGTAGAACCAGCGCTAGCGTCACCGCTACGAGTGCGAGTAGCACGGTGAATTCCGTTTCCAGCGCTAGCCCTCCTTCGTCTTCGAACTTGACAGCGTCCCAGGACGGGACAACGACGAGCACCACGCGGCCTGTGCAGCAACTCGGGGCGAGCAGTCAGACTGGTACTCGGACGCCGGCACCAGGGACGTCACCCAACAGACCAGCGCCACCAGCTGCACCGCAGCCTGCTAGATCTACGAGTGGTAGTGTGAGTAGCAGTGCGACGGCATCACAAAGTGCGGCAGTGACAGCGTCAGCAAGCGGGACTGTGTCTGTTAGAACGGCGTCCAGGGGCAATGCGTACCCGAACCCTGCAGCGCCGGTGTTTCAGTCTCAGAACAGTCAGTCAGCAGCCGGCCTGAATGCTGGTAGACGACCGCCAGTGCCA